CTGTGTGTGTTTGCGAGTGTGTGTGTGTGCGTTGTTCCTCAAGTGGCCGCACCTGCACAATGTGTGGAAGGCACATGGTGTCGGAGAGCATGCGCTTGCAGCGGGGCAGTGGACGAATCACAGCACCGTCAGCATCCCTGGTAACGCCAAAGGGGTTGTTTGGTCAATGGGTGTGTGGTCGTCGGCGGTTTGTGTGGTCGTAGGCGAGGGCGAGAGTGTGGTTCCATGCGGGGTTGATGCATTTACACAAAATCACACAACCACACACACACACACACACACACACACACTCTCTCTCTCTCGCACACACACACACACTCTCTCGCAAACACACACTCTCTCGCATACACACACACACACATACAACCGCACGCACACACACATACACACAACCGCACGCACACACACATACACACAACCGCACGCACACACACACACACACACATACACACACACTCCCTCGCTGCCCACCTGCTTGGGTAGTATTGGCAGATGGCGGTGAGCATGTCGAGGCAGAGGATCGACAGCTGCGTGTAGTCCATCACCGGTGTGCCACCGGCAACAAGCGCCCTGGTTTGATTGCAAAGGGGAAGAGGACGGGTGTGGGAGGGTTGATGTGGTATGGCGTGACGGGTTGGTGAAGGATGATGATGTGTCATGGGTAAAAACGTGAGGGTATGAGCTTGAAAGGCGTCAAAGCACTGCGACAGACAGAAAGGCGGACGGACGGACAGACACACACACAGACACACACACACAGACACACACACACAGACACACACACACAGACACACACACACACACGCACACATGTGCACGGTGACACCGATCAGACTACGACGTGTCTCAAGGCACGCACCATTTGAGCTGTGGAATGGCGCGCATTGGTTTCCAGCCCTCAAGTCCCTGCGCCCACACCTTCGTCTCCTTGTTCACCTCCCCGCTCTCATACAGCTCCTTCAGCTGATCGTGGGTTGTTTGGTGTAAATGGTTGCAGGGATGGGATGTGTGTGTGCGTGCGTGTGTGTGTGCGTGTGTGCGTGCATAAGTGTGAGGATTGGCGCATGCGAACAAGCACATGTGTGCATGCTGGAAGAGAGGGGTGTTACAGCCACAGCTGTAGTCCTTCCAAGCACGCAACCCCAAGCACACGGCATACACGATCACGTGTCAACCAGACCACCAGCTCAACACGAGTGCCCGCTCATGTGCACTGCTCACCTCTGAGAAGCCAATGGGGCCAGTCTTGGATTTGACGTCCGACTGAGAAGGTGAAGGGCATCATGCGCACAGGTCAGCCCGCAGTGAAGAACAAAACAACATATCACGCAACACAACACCACACACAACAAGACACACAGCACAAACACGCACGCACAAACGACACGACACAGCACAAACACACACCACCACCATCACCAACCTTCCCTCCCCGCCCAAGGCCTATATCACGCCCCATAAGGGCCCGCACCTTTGTGTAGAACCACTCTGGCTCGTCGCTGGTGAGCTGCGTCTGGCTTGCCTCAAGCATGAGCGTCTGCATGGGTGTGGTTGCCCTGTTGGTGTGCAGGTGTGCCAGCGTGACGAGGTCCACAAGGCAACGCATACCGCCGGCGTCAATGAACAGCTTCACGTTGGTTCGGTTGAGGAGGAGGGTGCTCAGGAACTGCAGGAGTCGGTCGCGCTCCAAGTTGTCTTCGCAGTTGTTGAGCATGTGCACGATAAACTCCGTGTCGTTGAAGTGACCAATCTCCTCGCTGCACTGCTTGTACACGACAGCCATTGCCTGCAGGCACATCGACTTCATCCTGCGTGTGTGTGTGAATGAGAGCGAGAGTGAGTGAGTGAGTGAGTGAGTGAGTGAGTGAGTGAGTGTGAGTGAGTGAAGGTGTGTGTGTGTGAGGGCAGGGGAGGGGAAGAGAGGTCCACTAAAGACTTTGTTTCAAACACACACACGCACGCGCGCACACTCGCTCACTCAACATTTCTCACGCACCACCACCCCATGTCCATCACACCCCCGCCAGACCTTGGCTTCGTGGTCAGGAGGAAGCGGTGGTAGAGGTCGTTGAAGAACTGCGGTGCGTTGTGGATCTTTGTGCTGTTCGGATCGTTCTCCAGCAGCAGCCGCAGGTAGTGGTCGCCAATCTTCACCTCCTCAGCCAACGTCTCGTACCGAACCTGGTCAGGGCGGTCAATGGGTAGGTGTGAGGGAGGGGCGTGTGTGAGTGTGTGCGTGCGTGCGTGCGTGCGTGTGTGTGTGTGTGTGTGTGTGTGTGTGTGTGTGTGTGTGTGTGTGTGTGTGTGTGTGTGTGTGTGTGTGTGTGTGTCTTCAACTGCCATCATCCACCACCGTTGCCACGACCACGACGACCACGACGACCACCTGCAGCTATCGTCACCTCAAATTCCGTGTGGTTCCAGGCGATGGTGTACGAGCCTCGCAGATCCTGGTGCCAACACGCAACACACAGAATAAACAGCAGATGAGTTGAGATGA